GAGTCAACCCGGTTACATGCTAACACAGGCCTTGACTCAAGTGAGGTTTGAAATTAAGACGGGTAACCCATCCTATATTTTAATATATTTGATACATAATTATTTTAACATAATTTTAATTAAAAAAAATCTTGAAATAACACCACTAAGTCAGATGGCTATTTATTTAGCTTACCCGTTGGAACATGAACAGGAAAGAGATAAATGGCAAAACACTTTTAGCTTTCCATATGGCTTGTCCGTTGGAGCTGCTCTTATAGTAGCAATATGAGCCACGGGTACCGGGCTGATGAGTCAACCCGGTTACATGCTAACACAGGCCTTGACTCAAGTGAGGTTTGAAATTAAGACGGGTAACCCATCCTCCTCAATTAAAACTCGATTTAATCCTTTTCAAAATAATTAAAATAATATTATTTTAATTAAAAAAAATCTTGAAATAACACCACTAAGTCAGGTAACCCACCCAATTCATTACCCAATATAATTTTTTTCAAAATATTTCATAATCATGGTTGTGATTTTGAAGAGAATATGATTGGCTTAGAGGTTATTATGATTGTTGCTATGGTTATTATTATGGTAAAAATAATAATAATAATATGTTTAAAAAATGTTCAAGTAGAATTTGAAAATTATAGAAGTAAAAAAGAATTGGACATGTTAAAGGAATATTGTTCACTCACTCGGACTTCATCAATTTAAATTCTATCGATATGATTTTCATTTCTACTCAGTTCAAGTAGAATTTGAAAATTATAGAAGTAAAAAAGAATTGGACATGTTAAAGGAATATTGTTCACTCACTCGGACTTCATCAATTTAAATTCAATCACATTAATATTAATATCAATATGATTTTCATTTCTACTCATATATTTCTTAAAAATCATACTAAATTTAATATAACTATTAATTAATACGTTAAGTATGGTTTAAATAGATAAATTTAAATGGATGGAGCACATAGCAATCAAAGAACTTGCAGAATTTCAAGGAATGCAGCCCTGAGCACTTTAGAGAAGAGAGCATCAGCAAAGGTGATAATACAAAGCGATCATCCAAGAACTTATTCATCTTGCACTAGGGAATTAATGACATTATTCTGTGATTTCAGATTTTATTTCATCAGATATGTTAATGCTTGCTTCGTTTCCAGTTCACCAAATATTACAAGTCCAACAGCTAACATCTTGAGAATTTACAAAGAAGAAAACAAATGAAATCTTCATATTCATGAACGGACTCTATATTTGGTAGGTAAATACGAGAGAGAGAGAGAGATCAACAAATCTATGCTGCCCCTCGCTGGCTATACCGCTGTATTCCGTAAACGTCTATGATGCCTGGAGGGAAAACTGGATCAGTTGCTGCCCTTACTGCAACTTTTGCCACAGCAGTAACATTGACTGGGGGGGTGAACAAGGGCCCAACAAGGGGAAGCTGTTTGAGTGGTTTTGCATGTTGAAGAACCTGCAGCGGGATTGAAATTCATAAATTACAATGAACCTTCAAATAACAGGATTGAATACAGTAGCTTACAAATCCTCCATATCACATTTTCAAGCATTTCTCCCATGTAAATGATAAAATGGCAACATAACACTCCTTGAAACTTAATTTCTGGAGACTGCAATCGTAGAATGCTCCTATAAGACAAAGTTGCAACCTCCTTTTATTCCCTTAAGAGTTCTAAGAACTAGTCTGCATAGTTGTGCTTAAAGACCTAAAACTAGGAACAACTGGCAAGATGCATAGATGGGGACCAATAATATTGAGAATTTGAAAAGTCATCACAGGGTATGGCGTTGTTTCGCAAACCTAAAGCTGCAAAAAGCCGCAGCATGGATATATATCATTCAAGTGTAGTTTGGGATAACCTAGTAATCTAGATAAATATACGAGAAGGAAGCGCAAGAACTTACCATCTCCAATGGAGAACCAATCACACCTAGAGGTAACTTAACACTTCCAACATTGCGAGTTCCGTAAATAAACCCAGGCCTGAGAATCACTCCTAAACAAGGAAACACAAAACATTTCATCAGATTTGGAGTTCCTATAATCCATAAAATATGATATTAATATGCTGTCAGCTACAAGGGAGACATATATCCACATTACTAATCAATACAAACACTGGAATTCTAAACTACAAGATTTTTGAAAATCAAATACAACAAAAGGAGTACCAAGATATGAAGGATGAAATCAATAAATCATAATAGCATTTCACCTGAAGGAAATTTTTCCAATTTCCCGATCCAAAAGTTTTAGGACAGCTCTATGACTGGAATAGAAAGAGTACAAGTACCAAGAATGAAAAGAACAAATTTTACCTCCGTATGCAAACTTGGTCAATAACTCTGTTTCAGCAGCTTTCTACTTCAAACAAACCACAAGTAAAATGCTTAATGAGGTAAGAATGATAGGAAAAGGGAAAAGTAAATATCATGACGACACTTGAAAGCTTTGATTCTTGTTGTGATATAACTATTTAGTATCAAAATATGTGTTACAGAAATCAAACTGAATCTATGTATAATACAAACTAGTTATTTTAAAGCTTTAGAAAACAGTCTTTGTTTCCAGAAAACAGAAGATGTAGATGTGCCATGCCAGACATTCGCATTAAAGTGACATGATTCGACAACAAGTAATGAAAATAGTACCTTTCCCTCGTAATATCCTTGCAGCAAGTAATTGGCCAAGCCAAAGTCAGCAGAAGAGATGTAAACAAATCTTTTAACACCTATAGCAAATAAGCAAATCAACTATCAAATCCAGTCCACTAAAATAAGTAAAAATTGGGAGGTAGCTCAGCTGGTAGACCACACGCAAGTTCCCAGGGTATTTATGAGTTCAACAACATCCCTTCACCAATCAAAAAGAAAAAGGAAATGGTAGAAATGGAACCACCTACTCTCTAACAGTTTACTTATTGGTGGGGCCAAAAACATGTAAAAGAATATAAAAATTCACAAAACTTGAAAAAGTTTTCTTTTGCTATCAGTGTAACACAGCATGCTGTTAGATTGCAGATGTACTATGAAATGAAAAACCAAAGACCATGCTAGATCAAAATGCCTTCTAGAATTTGCTTCCTTTGAGGATGATTGAAGAAATAACTAACGATAAGAAATTGAGAAAGAAACACAGTGCCTAAAATTCTCTCCTTCGCTTATTCACAAATATCCACACAACCACAACCTTGCGTGACATCTATGACCATTAGAATACCTAATTTATTCGTAACTCCAAAACATGAGAAGATTCATCATAAAGGATCCATTCTCAGAGAAAATTCTAACAATGGGTGGAGCAACTTCAAGTGAACTAGGATTCCCTCTTACAACAACCGTGAAACAGACTGAAGCCTCTGAGGACTTCTATTTGGAACAGCTTTCCAACACTTACACAGAACTCATCAGTTATGAATCACCACAAGGCCGCAAGAACGAACTATATAAATAAACAGCAGAAAAAACTTAGCTTCCTTTTAAGTATACCTTTTTCTGAAGCAGCTCTAATTGCATTAATATTTGCAGTTCCATTAATCTTATACATATAAGACTGTGAGCCAAAACCACCTACACAAGAAATCTAGAAAGCAAACACAAATTAGCAGAAAAGACCAATCACTCATTAAAAGAGAAGAAGAAGAATCACATCCTGTGTAGCAAAACCACCATTGCACACATGTGCGTGCACACGAAAAAAAATGTTATTTTGGTGGAAAAGTGAGGAGATCACATACAACAGAGGTGACCCCATTTAGAGCATCCGTCCATGAATAAGATGAGAGTAGGCTTCCTAGAGAAAGAAGACTGTTAGAAACAAAAGTTTACAGGCATCAAGACATCAAAAGCATGGAGAGAAAAGGAAAGCACCATAGAACAATGCAAACCTTGATGCCAAATCACATTTTTAACCCATGAATCATGTATGGATGGCCTACCAGACCTGAAAGGAACATGAACAATTAGACATCAACTGAAAATGACCAACTATCAATAAAAAAATTACAGCTTTAGAGGATCACAATACCTGCTCAGGCTAGCAACAGTTAAGCCACGGTCTATAGCTTCTTTGCAGATATGAGAACCAACAAATCCATTTCCACCCAATACAAGCAACTGCATTGGCTAGCATATCAATTAAAATATACAAAACAATAAACTAGAAGATATCAAAAGCGCCAACTATGGTTCATTATCCAGCATACCTTCTCTGTCGAGGGTGGAGGTACATTCACTGTCTCAGCCTCCTCAACTTTAAAGGGTTCATCAACCTTATTAGAATCAGTTGATAGATATCTCCCATTTCTTGATGCAGCAATTGTACTTATTCAAAAAAAATTAATAAACTAATCAGAAAATGCAACACCTTCACATTTGGTAACACCACAAAATCATACATTCAGTTGCCATCAAATTATTCCATTCGCAAAATATCTGCATGCAAATAAAAGAAGAAAAGCCCCAAGGATCATTGCCAATTCCCAAAACATCCCTTTTTTTTCATTTTTGGCATTTTCCAATAAAAAGAGAAGCTTCTAAACACTCACAATCATACAATTCTCAAATCAAAAGCACCCCATGTCTTCAAGGAAATCACTAACTCTTAAAATTCCCTTCAAGAGACAAGTAAATAACACAATGTAATCTTACAAGAAATCAATGTCACGCAATATTAAAGAAAGAACCCATTTTTTCCCTAAATAGAAAATAAATCACAAAAATAAATTTTACATACTTATCAATATAAATAATTCTTGACATAGCAGGAGGAAAAAAAAACCCAAGAAAGGAAACGAAACGTACTATAATTTGGAGAGGGAAGTTCTTGATTGGATCAAACGTGAAGCAAGAGGAGTCATTTTGGTGATTTGATCATAAGAGAGTTTTGGGTTCTTGAAGGATCTGCTTCAGTTTTTCTACTTCTTCCTTCGCTACCAAAAACAACGAGCACGGTCCAACTTCCAAGGCGAAAGAGAACACATGGCGCTTGATGGAGGCAGGTCTTGGTGCATATGTGGCTTGACGTCAACCTTCAGTTTTGTGTCATGTTTTTTTATTATTATTATTAAACGAGAATCGGTAGTTTGATTGAAAAATCGAGGACAAACGATAACATGTCTGCCTGCGTCCATTTGGCATTGTGATGAAATGTGATCGCAGCTGTTTTAATAGTGATTATAATTTTCAAAGTTATTTGATTTTCTTTTTTTTTTCATTTAAATTATAGTCTAAATTTAAATTTGATAAAAACTATAATTTTTAATTTTAAAAAAAATATATATCTTTTCAAATCACAACCTTACTACTATTTAGCAATGTAGTATCATAGAGTATTGCATTAGTATTGCATTATTTTCTATAGTATTAAATAAATACTTAATATTAAAATAATATTTTTATATATTTTTATTTTTTATATTATCATAATAAAATTATCTAAAAATATCAAAAAATACTAATTTTATTTTTTTTAAATAAAAAATAATTTAAAAAATACTTTTAACAATAAATATTCACAGGATATAAAATAAAATTAAGGTGACCATATTTGTTTTTGCGTTTCAAAAATGTTTTTGAAAAACTTTAAATACATTTTATTTTTTAATTTATTTTAAATTAATATTCTTTGATATTTTTAGATCATTTTGATACTTTAATTTTAAAAATATAAAAAAATTATTTTAATATATTTTTAAATAAAAAATATTTTAAAAAATAATT